GAGGAGAAATCCGAGCTTCTCATGGACGAGGCCGACGCCGAGGAGGCCGTCGCGGGTGCGGTCAGCGGGGCGGCACCATCGCAGAAAGCGGCGGCGGCGACGCCCGAGAGCGGCACGGCCACATCCGCGGTCAACGTGGCACCTGGTGCTGGGTCGACGAGCCAGGCCGAGTCTCCGGACAGTCAGTCCGTTGAGGCGTCGAGCCCTGGAGTCAAGGCAGCCGGCGCATGCGACGACGCCTCCTCCGAACACCCAGGCGACGTGCCCATGGAGACGGCCGTGACACCGGAGCCCGCCGCAAAGCGGACTCGGGACGACAACGGCGCTGACCCAGAGGCAGCGATCAAGGAGGAGCCGCCTGCCAAGACGGCACCTACGAGGTTGAGACGGCCCGGCGCCGTCCCGAACGTTGCTGCAGGTGTAGTCAGGGGTGCCAAGCCACCCCCCTGACGGCGTAGAAAAGGCGACGGTTTCGGTGGTGGCGCGTAAGTCGTGGAAGGTGTGTGTCGAGTCAGAGGAGAGGGCCGCCCGACTCGAGGTAAGCGCCATACGGTCCGTCCCTTTTATTTTTGATGGCTGTTAGACTAGAGTCTGCCCTACGAGTCGCCACGCTTAACGTGCGTGGCCTTTCAGCGAGACGCCGGCAATACCAGTTAAGCCGTCTGTTTGCCGAGCGTGAGCTTGACATAATCGCCGTGCAGGAGACGAAAGTCGAAAGCCCTGAACAGACGGACCGTATGGTGCGACCCTTTCAGTCTCTTTTCAATATATGTGTTTCGCACGCGGTTGGTTTTTCCGGAGGTTGTTGTTTATTTATTCGCCGGTCAGTAGGTGTTGTAGAAACGGCCGTACATTCGTGTTCCTCTGGCCGTTTTGTGTATTGTGATTTTTCCTTTTCTAACGTCGAGTGGCGGGTTATTTGTATTTATGCGCCAAACCAAGAAGGTGAGCGTAAAAGTTTTTTTGAAAGTATCGAAACGTATCTCAACTGTAATAGGGTCGTTATTTTTCTTGGCGATTTTAATTGTGTTTGCTCTCAGAGGATAGAGCGATCAAGTGCGTTTTCGAGATTCCAGTGCTTTTTCTTTGAGTGATATTATTGCAAGAAATACATTAGAGGACGTCACTGTTTGTGCATCTAAGGGAGGGGTTCAGTACACCCATTTTCAAGGTAATAGCCATGCGAGGCTTGACAGAGCGTATATTTCACTTGATCTTGTACTATCGTGGACACTGTTAGCTATAACACGGCAGCGGCTGCCGTCCCGTACCCCCAGCGCCTCATAGCAGGCGCCGTCCGAAACCCCACGCATGCGCCATGTGGCGGACTCGCTCTTCCCGCCTGCGAGCACACCCTCGCTTTGTCGTCTGCTAGGCACAGAGCAGACGACGCCACAGCGCTTGCCAATTTTCCCTGAACACGGTTCAGCAAACCACCGCGTAAGAGGTGTCCACGGTTGATTCCCTGACTCCGCTGGCTAAGGATAATCATCGCCACTAATTGGAATATCACGGTAGACTACTTTTTTTTCTTTTTTTTTTTTATGAGACAAACTTGCAGTTATACCCCGTTTCACTTAGGTCTAAGCGCAGCGGGCGCTACGAGACGATAGGGCCAACCAAAAGCGACAAAAGCTCACTTTTTGCACCTTATTGTGTCCCCCGGTGACGCACTCCGTGACATTGCACCTTTGCCGCTATTTGATTGGCTATGTCGTTTTGTAGCGTACGCTGCATTCGGAACGGAGTATAAGTCTATTTCTGTATCACACCTGCTGCGCTCATACTGGTTTGCGAGCGCATATTGTGAAAGATGGATTGCGAAATCCTGTTTCTGAAAAAGCAAAAAAAAAAAAAAAAGTAGACAGGGTTAATGCTCCAATGATTCTGCAATCTCCCCCAATCAAAATCGCCGGTTTAAAATGAGTTTGAGACCAATTCGCTAGGGCCAGGGTGCCAGACGAGCAGCACTGCGGCATCGCCTGCTCTGCGCCTAGCAGACGACAGAGCGAGGGTGTGCTCGCAAACGGGAAGAGCGAGTCCGCCACACGGCGCATGCGCGGAGTTTCGGACGGCGCCTGCTATGAGGCGCTGGGGGTACGGGACGGCCGCCGCTGCGGTGTTATAGCTAACAGTGTCCACGATAGTACCCCTTTGCGACCACTACGAGGTGAAACACGTGTCTTTTAGCGACCATGCTTTGGTATTTTTTACTCTTGGGAACAAGAAGAAATCACCGCGTTGGGAGTGGGCGCTGTGGAAGATGAACGGATGTCTCGTTAGTGACGAACCTTTTATTTCCCAAGTTAAAGAAGCGTTTAAAAATTTGAGTGTGAATGACCAAGCAAATTGGGGGAAAAGGTGGAATTGTTTAAAGAGGACGTAAAAATGATCGCTATCGAGAGATGTAGCGTCATAACACATCACAAAAAGATTAAAGAGAATGATCTTCGACGCAAATTAGACATGCTCATAGCCGAAAAAGGCAAGAAACCCGGCGAGTTCGCGAAAGAAATAAGAGATGTTAAAAGTCAATTGGAAATTATCGATGCTGAAAAGTACAGAGGGGCTATTGTGCGGGCGCGTAGTGAAAAGTATTTGATGGGAGAAAGCCCTACGAAGCGCTCGCTTAGCGACGAAAAAAGATATGCAAAACGCAACGAAATCAAAGAGATAAGTTACGGCGCCCCTCTAACCCGCGATAAGAACGGGATTGAAAAAGCGTTTGTAGAACATTATCGCAATCTGCTAGGGAAAAATACCCCTTTAGACACTGACTATAAAACTTGTTTTTTGTCATTGATGCCGCAACTGGATCAGCAGGTTTGCGAAAGCTTGGAAGTGCCAGTCAGTATTGGAGAAATTGAAAAAAGCTATAGACGAATTAAGTCCCGGCAAGACACCCGGGCCGGATGGCCTTGGGGCAGGTTTTTATAAAACTTTTAAAAGTGAGGCAGCAGTTGCACTGCATAATGTTTTGGCCGAGGCCTACGAAGTTCACGTGTTGCCGCCCTCGTTTTCAAGGGCGCACACTGTGCTTGTTCCCAAGTCTGAAGATCCAGTAAAGCTTCTGTCTGTATCAGCGTATAGACCAATCAGTTTAACCAATGTTGATTACAAAGTTTTTATGAAAGTTCTGGCTAGACGGTTGCAATCTGTGATTCAATGTCTCGTGGGACCGCACCAGACGTGCGGTATTAAAGGGAGCACCATAGCTACAATTATTCACGTGGCCAGATCTGTGCTAGAGTGCTGCGATGCTTTTTCTGGACGAGTGGCGATGCTGCAGCTCGACCTAGAAAAAGCGTTCGATCGCGTTTCGCACGAGGTACTTTTTAGTGTTCTAGAGCATGCGAACGTAGGCTCTGTCATTCGCGAGGGCGTAAAGATGGCGTATACAAATTGCACGACTAGTTTGATTGTAAATAAGGGAGTCACCGAAAGTATCAAAGTTAGGACTTCTGTAAGGCAAGGCTGCCCGCTTTCGCCACTACTGTTCGCGCTTTACTTAGAGCCCTTTTGTTTAAAGCTTATTCATAATAGTAATATTCGTGGTTATAAATTGCAGTCAAGTGAAGTAAAGGTTCCTTCCTACGCGGATGATGTCGCTGTTATTTGTGTCGATCGAGACAGCGTACATGAAGTGATAAATGTGGTGTCTTCCTTTTGTGCGCAAACTGGTAGCGTGGTGAACTTTGATAAATGCGTTGGTTTTTGGCACGGTGACTGGTCAAGTAAGCCAGAAGTGTTCATGAATGTTAGGTGGAAGACTTTACCGACGAAGTATCTCGGAGTACCTTTAGAACATTACCAGGACACCTCAAGTTATTGGAATGAAGAAACCGAAAATGTTAGATTAAAGGCGGAAGGGTGGAGGGGTAGGGATTTATCTATGTTTGCGCGTTCGACCGTGTGTAATCTGTTTTTAATATCAAAAGTCTGGTATATATTACAAGTGTTGTGTATGTCACGTATGAATGTGCAAAAGCTGCATAGGGTGTTTGCCGTTTTTATTTGGTCTTCGACATGGGAGCGTTCTGCTCGAACGAATTTATTTAGGTCGGTGCGAAGTGGTGGTTTGGGGTTGTCCCATTTGTTCATACGTCAGATTGTTTCACGCTTCATGTTTTTACGCGATCAGAGGGATGCCTTTTTGCGCACAGTTGTTCAACTTCGTCTGCAAAACGCTTTGTTAGAGTTTATTGTTTCGTCATCCATTGGGATGGGTGCTGCAGTGCAAGGATATTTGAGAGAAGTGTTACTTTCTTTTCGAATCTTGAAGGTCCGTTTTTCTTTAGATTATCTTAGTACCGTGTCACGGAAAAAATTGTATCGAGATTTGGTTGATGTTCTGCTGCCTGTGCCGCTTTATCGTTCCCTATACTGCGAAGGCCCTGGCCTAGATGTTCTAAAAAGAGTGAAGAAGATGCCGGTAAAGCCTAATGCTAAATCCTTTTTTTTTAAACTTCATTGTGGCGTTTTACCCGTAAAGCCATGGTTAGAAGAAAAGGGCATTTTCGTGCCATGGTCTACGTGTTGTCTTTTATGCAAGCAGCCAGAAACTGTAGAACACGTGTTTATTTCCTGCTGGGACGCTGTATTTCTGTGGGATATACTCCAGCGCACACTCAAAAAGGATTTCCCGATCACCGCCAGGGGTATACGGTTTTTATCAATAGAGAATGTAAATGGCGTACCTTATGATATGATCCTACTACTGGGCCTTCACAGTTTATGGAAAACAAGAGTAGGCGTAAATCACGCTGATAAAACAGTCCGCTCGGCGCGTGAATATTTTATTGAAAGTGTTGCCGGCATGCGTGAAGTGTTCCGGGCTCAGCCCGAACCGCCGGATTGGTTGCCCATTCTTGATGGTTTGGTTTGTCTAAAAGAATTTTAATGACACCACGGCAGCCAAGTTACGGCTGACGTGTTTTTAATCCCTCCTTTGTATATATGCTATTGTACAAATGTAAAAACAGGCAATAAAGAAAAATATAAATCCTCGTTAGTATGAAGATTCTGCTTCTGGCACTCGCCGAGAACGGTCGCAGGATGGCTGGCTCCAACGGAGCTGCGACAACGGCCCCAGTTGGCCGCGGTACTTTTGCTGCGTCATCGTCTGCCGACGACTACAAGGTGGTGTTGCCTCCCATCCCAATAGGTGCAACTATTTTGAATTCAGTACTTTTGCACTGCGATTTGAGAGGCTGCCCTTATCGTATTGAAGATTTCCGGCAAGAATTGAAGCGGTGCGCCGTCCTGTCCGAGATTGTGGCGCTCGGTGCTTTCCAGATGAACCATGTCTGGTTAGCCACGCTGCGAACGCCGGAAGCCAAGAAGCGGCTCATCGACTGCAAAGAGTTGAACGTGAAGGACCTGAAATGTGTTGTCATCGACCCCAGCAGCACAGAAGTTCGTCTACGCCTCCATTGGGTCCCGTATCATGTGACCGACGACGCGGTGAGCAAGTTTTTGGAACCCTACGGCAAGGTTATAGAAGTCGCACGTGAGAAATGGCGCGTCGAGGGATTCGAGGGCATCGAGTCGACTACCCGGGTGGCGCGCATGACGCTGAAGAGCGGCGTCACGCCCGACGGAATGCCTCATCAGCTGCGGCTTCAGGGGGCGAACGTCCTTATCGTAATCCCAGGGAGGGCGCCGGTCTGCCTGCGCTGTAAGCGTGCCGGGCACATCAGGCGCGACTGCCGCGTGCCTAAGTGCTCGGTGTGCTCACGTTTCGGCCACGAGAAGGAGGAGTGCGTAAAGACCTACGCCCGAGTAACTGGTGGAGCGGCGGCGGAAGACCTTTCGCCCCTGACCATGGATATCGACGAGGCTGAGCGCTCCGCTGAGGGACAACAAGACGAAGCTCCACCGTCTGGTGAGCCCTGCAGTCATCCTGTTGGAGCGGACGGCTCGACTGAAGTCTCGCCTGTAAAGGACAAGAAGAAGGAGGTGGCTGGTGGCTTTCCTGAACCGGACAGCGCGGCACTCCCTCCCTCGGCGACGCCAATGGAGAAGACCGTAGCCCCGCGCGGGGCCTCCCCCCCGACTTTCGAGAAGGCGCCTTCCGAAGGTCACGACACTATGGACGAAACCACCGAGTCCATCAAGCGTGGTCTCGACGAGAACCCTCCATCGACGCCGGGCATGACACCCAGGCCCAACCCTTGGATGGAGAGGACAAAGAAGGGGCGTTTCCAGCCCACGCCCACCTTAACCCCAGATGACCGGAGGCGACTCAACAGCAAGTAAGGCGGCTAACGCCTGGTTACAAAGACTGACGTCCGAATGCCAAGGCAAGTGCTACAGCAAAACGCATGATTTGTACGTTCCAACCAGCAATAACGGTCGCATCGCTAAATGTTCGAGGTTTGAGCGCCAGGAAAAAACAATACCAATTGCAGCGTTTGCTGCTTAAAGAGAAACCCGATTTCTTAGCGGTGCAAGAGACTAAAATGGCTGAGGAGGAACAGGTTGCTAGTGCGCTTAGGCCTTTTCTGCAGTCGTACGAAGTTTGTGTCACCCACGCGGTTGGTTTCTCTGCCGGATGTTTTCTTTTTCTTAAAAAGTCCCTGCCCTTGTCGGAGTTAGCTGTAACCACCGACACGGAAGGGCGGTTCATCATGTGCGATTTTTCTTTAGCGTCTTTTCAGTGGCGAATTGTTTGTGTGTATGCGCCTAGTACGGTTAAAGACCGTGTTTCCTTTTTTATTGGCTTACGCCGTTTTCTAGATTGTGATAAAACGATTGTGTTGTTGGGCGATTTTAACTGCGTTGTAAGGGCAGCAGACAGAACGCCCCTGAGGCGGAGCAGTGACAAGAGTGCGCAAGTTTTAAGCGAACTGGTTGAAGACTTTGACTTGGTTGACGCCGGAACGGTGACGAACGAAACGAGCGAGATTCGTTTCACCCATTTCCAAGCGTCGTCTCATGCGCGCCTCGATAGAGTATACGTATCGGCCTCCGCGGCAGCAGTGTTAAAGTATCGCGTCACACCTGTGTTTTTTTCGGATCATTGCATGATTTCGACAACGATCGGCGAAAAAGCGCCGCCGAAGGCCAAGTTTAACTGGAAGCTGTGGAAGCTTAACACAAAACTGCTTGATGATGAAAGTTTTCTTGCAGCGGTAGATAACGTCTTCAAAACATTTTTTAAAACCGCAAGGGACGATATATTCGAGACGTGGGAGCTCATCAAACAGGAAGTGAAGATGCTCGCTATCGAAAGGTCGTCGATTTTAGCGTACGAGGCGCGTTGCGACGAACGTGGTTTAATCGAAGATTTGCAAGCTCTGTCAAGAGCTGAGTGTGAGCGACCCGGCACAGCTCTTAAAGATTTGGAAACGGTTAAGCAACGCCTGACGCATTTTCATCAAGAGCGTTACCGCGGAGCCATTGTTCGGGCTCGATCAGAGAAGTACTTGATGGGAGAACAGCCTACTAAACGGTCTTTGGCGGATGAGAAAAGGTTCGCGCTTCGCAACGAAATTGGCGAAATCGAGTACAACGGAGTGATTAACACGAGCCCAAGTAGTATTGAGCAGGCTTTTGTCGCACACTATAGGCAAGTTTTCGAAACCCAAGTTAAAGGAAGGCAGGACCCTATGTGTGGAAAACTTCTAGAGTCCCTGCCGCAACTAACGGAAGAGGAGAAGGAAAACCTCACAGAGCCGATCACTTTTCAAGAGGTTGAGCGAGCAATAGACGATTTGCCGAGCTCGAAAACGCCAGGACCGGACGGGCTATGCGCCGAATTTTATAAGAAATACAAAAGCGTAATCGCTCCGCTTTTTTTAGAAGTCATTTGTAAAGCATACGAAAGGAAAGTACTGCCGCCGTCTTTTTCACGTACATACACTGTGTTAATTCCCAAAAGCGATGACGTTGCGAAACTACGTCAAGTCACTGGTTTCCGCCCGATAACTCTGTGTAATGTAGATTACAAGATTTTTGCTAAAATCCTAGCGAGGAGGTTCCAGAGTGTTGCCTGCCAGCTCATTGGAGATCATCAGACCTGTGGAATACAGGGTCGATCTATTTTGACGAATGTGCACGTTGCCCGAACTGTTTTGGAGGCATGTGACGATGGCATGGGCCAAGTTGCCATGCTTCAACTGGACCTAGATAAGGCTTTCGATCGTGTTAAGCACGATGTCCTTTTTGATGTTTTAAAGCACGTGAATGTGGGCGAGCGTATTTTGGACGGGGTTAAAATGGCGTACCAAGAGTGTACCACTAGGCTCATTGTGAACAGGGAATTGACTGAACCGATACGTGTGCGAACATCCGTAAGACAAGGATGTCCCTTGTCGCCGTTATTGTTTAACCTCTATTTGGAACTTTTTTGTTTAAGTGTTCAGAACAGTAATCAATGTCACGGATTCCGGATGGAAAATGAGGAGATAAAAGTCATGAGCTATGCAGATGATGTCGCGGTTTTTTGTAGCGATAAGCCAAGTATTAGCGCGGCTGTGAAGTTGGCAAGAGACTTCTGTAAGGCTACAGGGGCAGCCATAAATTTGAGCAAGTGCCGTGGGTTTTGGCACGGAGAGTGGGCCACAACCCCTTCGGTGTTTGAAGGGGTGTGTTGGGACCGTGTGCCGTGCACTTACCTCGGTGTGCCACTAAAATGTTACAGGCAAAGCAAATCCTATTGGTCGGGAGTCGCCGCCGACCTGGACAGACGCGCTTCCCGTTGGAAGCAGCGTGAGCTGTCCATATTTGCCAGAGCGACAGTATGTAATATTTTTCTCATTGCAAAATTATGGTACGTGATGCAGGCCATTCATTGTGCTCGCTTGAATGTGCAGAAATTTCACCGTGTTTTTGCCACGTTTATTTGGAATTCAAAGTGGGAGCCGATGAGGAGAGACAATCTTTTCCATCGGATTCGTCACGGTGGTCTCGGTCTCTCACATTTGTTTTGCAAACAGATTGTGTCCCGATTCTTTTTTCTACGAGACCAAGAGCATCCTTTCATACGTACATTTATACAAACCAAATTGTCTCCTCATTTGCCATCTTTTCTCGTTTCGTCCCATGGCGGCGAACTTAAGAGATTAGTGGGATATCAAAAGGAGGTGGTAGACGCAGTGTTATTTTTGTCTGCCCGTTTTTCTTTTGAGTATTTGTCTGCTGTTAGCAAGAAAACACTTACACGCGAGTTATTGATAAGTTTGTTTCCAAACCCGTTGTATAGAACTGTAGTCTGTAGCGGGGGCCAAGATGTGCTCAAGCGAGTGAAGAATATGTGCGTTCCCCCTTCCGTTAAAACGTTCTTTTTTAAACTGCATTCCAATACACTGCCCGTTAAGGTGTGGCTTCAAGGAAAGGGTATTGATGTTCCCTGGTCGGTAGACTGTATTTTATGTAAGAAACCTGAGACTATCGAGCACGTTTTCATTTTTTGCTGGGATGCGGTATTTTTTTGGGACGTGCTCCAGCGCACGTTGAAGAAACAACTGTGCATTAGCCAATCAGTTATACGTTTCTTGAATGTGAGTAACGATGATGGCATACCTTTTGATATGATTATGTTGTTGGGTTTGTGCAGTATTTGGAGGTCGCGCATGGCGGTCCGTCATGCCGACCCTAGTGTGAAAGAAGTGCATCATTATTTTTTCAGCCTTGTTAAGCAAGTGGAAAGTGTTTTTTCAAACCGTAAAACGAAACCCGAGTGGCTAGAAATTTGTAAACCGCTCCTCGAAATGCGAGGATTTTAATGTACCCTGCAATAAGGCTTGCAGAGTATTTTTTTTAAAGTGACATGACCGTTTTTGCATTCCTCCTGCAATAAAGAAATAAAAAAAAAAAATCCTCGTTAGTATAGTGGTCAGTATCCCCGCCTGTCACGCGGGAGACCGGGGTTCGATTCCCCGACGGGGAGCGTGATTTTTTTTTTACACCCAGTTTTTTGTTTTACTTTATTGAAAAGTCCATATTGCGCTAGAGTTTCCGTCCCGCCATTCCCGTCTATCCTCGTTAGTATAGTGGTCAGTATCCCCGCCTATCACGCGGGAGACCGGGGTTCGATTCCCCGACGGGGAGCATATTTTTTTTTTAACACACAGTTTTTTTGTTTTACTTTATTGAAAAGTCCATGCTGCGGTAGAGTTTCCGTCCCGCTATTCCCGTCTCTCCTCGTTAGTATAGTGGTCAGTATAATCCAAGTAATGAGCGGCAGAAGGGCGCGTACGCGGCGTACGCACATTTCATGACTTCACGACAGAGTTACTTCAATTTCGGAGCACCACACTTGTGCTATTCCTAGTGTTTGTCAAAGGATGGAAGAAGAAGCAAGGGATCACTCCTACTCATTTGCTTTAGGTTGTGGCGACCATTCTAACGAGGGAACACAGCATACTCCAGCAGCTTCATGTACTCATCCAAAAGTCAACTTGAGCAAACTGCTTCGATGCGTTTATGAAGTGCTCAAGACCAACAAGTCGGCAAGTGAACTACCAGAGATGGTTGCTTTGAGGAATGAACATGACCAAGTGATCTCCTTCTGCCAAGAAAACTTTTGTAACATTGTTTTGGACGGGGCTGTGTTGTTTGACAGGTATCTTACTCGGGAGCTTGGGAAAGACCTTAGTGCAGCTTATTACTATGGGCTAGTATTTGTTCGATGTCGAGACTTTGAAGATGCGGTCTATGTTACATTCATAAAAAATAACCAGCTAATGATTAGGTATCTTGTTTCGTATAAGCGGGGATTGCCATGCACATTTGCAGATGTTCTCAACAATAAGCTTGAAAAGCTTTCCATCGTAGATTCCTGCAAACTGGTCTCAGTGACTGTAGACAGAGACTGCTTTCACTGCAATGAAATTGATGCCATCTTACACAGTAAGAGGGACAGGGTGAATGACTTACTTGAGTTCCACTGTGTTATCTACAAGTTAGAGTCCATGTTGGGTTATGCTCTCCAGAAATCAATGGTGGATGACCCTCATGTTTCCATCATTGCAAACTTGTGTAACATGCTCAAAAACCTTGCCCTTGCAGATGATCTCAACCTCGGTGACATCATGTTTCATGGCTCGGAGTGCTCGACGTACACATTCTTTAACTACAAGACATTGGACACTATACATAACCACTGGCTCGACATAGTCACCAAATTGAACAAAATACTGGTCGACTCGCTGGTGGAGGATGACCGTCAGGTGATTTCATTTATTCTGGAAACACTCAAGTCGACCACCTTCATTGTTAACCTTGCTTTTTACCTCGAACTGTTCCGTTGTCTGCATGACTGGACTCGCAAAGTGGTCAACCTGGGCATCCCTGCTTATCAGGTGATCAACGAGCTTGAGGGAGTCTCGTGCACCATCCGACACCACACATCCACCGGTGGATCCAAAGTAGAAGAAGTGCGTGAAGAACTCCAGCTTGACATTGGAAGGTACAAAGGGGTGCCCATTAAATGCGACTTGGATGAGGCAGTCCTGGTCTCCACTATGGAGAGGGTGTGTGGCTTGATGTCTGACATCCTCGATGACATAGTCCAGAGATCCAGCAGGACCATAAAAACCCTGAGCATTCTGGGCTCGAAGACATGGCCGGTCGACACCTGCGACTTAGATGCATTTGGCTTTGACTCAGTGAAGATGCTAGCGAGAGAATACCAGCACTCCTTGTTAGAAAACATTGATGTTTTCCAGGAGTGGGGCTCTTATAAGCGCACTGTGCTGAACTCCTTTGTGAGGGACCTGAGGGAGAACTTTGATGATATTGCTCCGAGAATGGTTTCCTCTTTTCGAGGCCTCTACCCTGGCATTGTCACGCTTCTGAGTTCTGTAAGCCTCTTGTGCCCTGCTTCCAAGGTGCTTCAGGCGCAGTCCCAGTCCTTGCTTGAAGGGGACCAGACCGAAGAGCTCATGACCATAAGGGTCAATGGTCCGCCTCCAGGGTCATTGTCCATGGCGGCT